TCTCTCTCTCTCTTCCTCCCCCCTCCTTCCCTCTCCCTCTCTCTTTTTCTCTTTCTTCTTTTACTTGAGGTGTAAAATACATACCCATAGAGCAAGGCAGGTAAAGTGAGCTAATTTTAAGTGTACAGCTGATTGGATTTTTATATATGTCTAAACTCCCAAGGCGTGGTTCAGGACACTGAACACTTCCAGAATCCTGTAAGTTTTCTTATGTCCCTTCCCAAACCATGCACTCCTCAGTCACTGCTCTTCTGGCTTCTGTCACAATCAACTAGTTCGACCTGTTCTGGACCTTCATGTAAATTGAATCCTCTCGTATTACTCTTTTGTATCTGGCTTCTTTCACTCAACATCATGTCTGTTCTTTTTGTTCATCGATGTTGCAGCCTCTTTTTTTAAATTTTATTTTTTACTTTTGTTTTTAAGTATTCTAGTATATGTATATACCACAATTTATTTACTTATTCTTGACTTTACTCTTCTAACTGAAACCCATGTAACACATTCTCATGGAATGTCTGGGATGATATATCAAAATGAAGGGTGACTCTCTATTTAAGAGACTCCAGGATGCTTATGAATGTCAGGTTGAGCCATGTGACATTGTCAATTTTCATTTTGTTTATTTTCATATGGTTTTTTCATATGGTTTTTTCATATTTTCATATGGTTTAAACTAAGAGCTAATGAGTTTTGCTGTGCTAGACTGTTTAATTTCCTCTGAAGTTTGAGTATACAGCAGAAGTTGTAGGTGAGCAATTTTGTTGATACAGCTGTGAATATGCTCCTAAGAATCAATAGGTAAAATTGTGACAGCTTGCAAACTGTTGGGAATTCTGGACAAAATATTTTGGGCTTTGAGAAACAAAGTTAAAATGCAGAGGGTGAGTTCCTTGTTTGCGGTTACACCCCTCTTTCCTAGCAGGATGTCCGGACATGGGTTGGTGGGGTCAGAGGCAGCTCTCAGTAATCTCCTGAATAGATTAACAAAGGCGGGGTATAAACAAATAACAGTTTAAATTAAAGATGTAGTTTTTGTTTTTGGCTCTTTCATCAATAATGAGGTGCCTTTGGAAAAGTCTCCTCATCTTCCTGAGTCTCATTTTGCTCAGCTTTAAAATGGAGAGGGTCACAATTAGACATTATCTAGGCTCCCTGCCAAGTGTAATTATCTATTTTCAGGAAGGCATTTCCCTAACATTTGGAGAATGACACTCAGGGTACATTTATACCCCCCAAATGCTCTCTGAGAGGGGATCCTGGGCAGACAGTGTTTGGATCCCACGTGGTGGTGATCCTTTGCCAAGATGTTCTTGACCTCTTAGTTGCTTGAGGTTCCGAGTAAAAGGATGTAATCGCATGTGAAAAGAACTTGCCAGCTCAAATATACCTGGACCTCAGTTCTGTCACTTCTATTTGCTTGCCTCTGCATTTATTGAACACATTCTTGCCCCAGGATGCTGTTCCTTAAATTTAACAGTTTAGAAAGGATGTTAAATGATGCTTGTCAGCTCAAATGTAATAAATGACCTCATTTCTGGTGACATTATCAAGGAGAAAAACTGTAAAAATGACATCCCCCTTTCAGGGCTTTTCAGAAATATCTTCATTTCTTCACAACTGGGCATGTAGCAGCCTTCAACATTCCCTTCCCTGTACTCTATCTTTAGGGGAATGCAGTTAGGAGAGTGGGAATATCCTGTGATTTTTCTTCTCAATTATCTTCCTGAGGGCTCTCTTTATCTGTGGAACTTTTGTCTTTCATCTCTATGTTATGTTATTTTTCAGAACAACACCCAGATGCTTCTGGCAAATTGATGGTTGTTCAATTTTAAGCAATTAAACTCGTATAAACAGATACCCTAACTTCTCTGACCACTTAAACATGGTTGGAGGCTGTGAGCATATTGAAAAGATTTTTTTTAAAGCCATCTGTTGAATCTTCTAAGGCCTTAATCAAACAGTATGACAGCATTTGGACTATTTATGCCTAATCCCATTGTCAAGAACTGTCCAGTTGCCTTATGTCTCAACACATGACTTCATTCAGCCCATTTTTTAAAGTTAAAAACCAGAGGATTACAGGAAAAAAGCAATTTGTGTGACAGTTTTCACATTTCATTTTCCTTTTAATTTTTTTAATTAAAATTTATTGGGGTGACAATGGTTAGTAAAATTATAGAGGTTTCAAGTGTACAATTCTGTAATATATCATCTATATATCACATTGTATGTTCACCACCCAGAGTCAGTTCTCCTTCTATCACCATATATTTGACCCCATTTTTCTTTATAAAAACTCTAGTATGTGTTTCCTTGAAACACTACCTAAGAAAATAGCTCATGTTCATTGATTCAGGCACTGTTCTAAGGTCTTCTCACTTATTGATTCATTTAATCCTTACAATAACCCAATGAGATAACTATTATTATGGGCACACTTTCCAGGTGATGAAACTGAGACACAAAGAAGTTAAATAACTTGCTCATGGTTTGGAATTCTTATTAGCAATGGGATTTTAATTCAAAAGTCAAAAACAGGAAAAGAAGAGAATTTAGAAGTTCAAAGTTCTTTTTATGTATTAATTCGTTTTATCTTTACAATACTATGAGGTAGATCTATGAATTGTCTTTATTTCTATTTCTATGTATTGCTCTTTTTATTTATTTATTTGTTTTTTTTGTTTAAGTTTTTTTTATTTTTTTATTAGGGATTGGGGGAAGGGGAACAGACAAGTTGCTGTAGTTTTGTTCTTCAGTCTAGTTGTGGAGGACATTGCTTTACTGGCCCAAATTGGCACCATCATTGCGCTCTTCCCGGGTGAGACAGATCAATCGCTAGCTTCTGGACGGCCGCTCACTGCGGCTGCTGGCCACTCACGCTGGCTGCCGGCTACATACGGTAGCCCATGGCAACCCACTGCCACAGGGGCTGCAGCCTATGCCGTCGCCGGCAACTCACGGCAGCCCAGCTCCAGGTTGAGCTGTTGTTCAGCATCTTAGCTATGGAGGGCAGTGTCACTGGCCCTCATATGTGGGATCCGAACCGGGGCCCTCTGGTGTCCCAAGCCAGTTCTTAACCAACGCGCCACTCGGTCAGCCCTGTATTGCTCTTTTTAAAAAAAATCCAAAGAATTGATTTGGATTTCTATCACAGAGATAAAAACCAAAAAATTAGGTTTAGAAGATAAAAAATCTTAAGAGAAAGGCCAAAGGAATTGGGGTTGGGATGGGGTTCATTTTTAAATTTTGGTATAATTTCAGAATTCAAGTTGCAGGAGGACATCCTCTTATTTTGAAGAAAGTGATGAGTTGTCCAGATAGGCCCTTTTAGAAGCCATGATGAACACCTGCTGAGGCCTTGTGGGCTGCTGTTTTCTGATAGATTGTTACTTCCCTACAGCCAGGATCAACAACCGAGGAAGGAATTAAGCAATGAGGCTTCATACTTTGGCTTTGTCCCTTATGTTATGTGGACATGCTATTTGGCACTGGGACCTCAATTTATTCACCCATAAAATGGGAATAAACTCACAGGTTTGCTGTGAGAATTATTAAGAGATAGTGCCTATAATGACATGTGACACTTCCTATGACATACTCAAGTAAGGCCATTATATGGACCATCTCTCAAGGATCTTAAGAGTGCATCTTTGCCCAGTAACTATTAAGTTGGATAGCTTCCACTTAGTGAATGCCTAGGAAATTCCAGCTGTCATGCTACGTGCTTTTCATGCCTTGTCATCTTAGCGCCTCATTACTCAAAATATGGTTCTGGAACCAGCGACGTAGCATTACCCAGGCTTGTGAAAAATGCCAAATCTCAAACTCCACCCCGAATCTAATCAACAAAGCTCTACATTTTTTTTTTTTTTTTTTTTTAGCTGAGCCATCCCGCCACCTGTTGGCAGCTCACGGCTGCTCAGCTCGGGCTGACTCGAACCGCTGTTGCTCAGAGCTCAAACTCTTGAGCGAGCTCTTAACCAACAGAGCCACTCAGCCGGCCCCTAAAGCTCTACATTTTTAACAAGATCCCTAGATGGTTTCCATGAATGTTAAAGTTTGAGGAGTGTTGGTATGATCCTCATCACTATCCTACAAGTTAATTGTCATAATTTACATTTTCCAGAGGAGGTAAGGTAAGGTCAGATGTGAAGTGACTTGTTCTAAACTACATAGTCCTGGAATTGGCACTCCCATATATCTGATTCCCTTGTCCTACTCTGCCACCCAACACCCTCAATCCAATGCTGACCCTTAATATTTGCTGGGGTGTCCGGAAGAGTCAATTGCTTCACAGCAGTCTTGCTGAGACCATGCCAACTGGCAGGAGCTGAAACTGAACTCAAGCTCCTGGCATTTGTTACAGGTTGTGTGACTATTCTCTTTTGTCTAATTTCCCTAGTTTTTTCAGTTTTCATTCCTTGTTCCCCAAGCCCGTACCTCCACTGAATGCCAGACTGTTTCTGACTCTCCCTTCTTAGGGTCTACTTAGCTCTTGCTCTGTCCAAGGCAAATCCTCCCCCCAGCATTTTCTTCTTTCCCCTCACCTCTCATCTGTCTAAGTCAAGAACGTCCCCCAACTCATTCCCAGGGATAAACATTGTGCTTTGACCTCTGGCAGCTTAATACAGCAGCTGAAGCATTGAATTTAACTCTGTGGGTCTCTCCAGCTCAGGGCGCATGGGGGGTTCTTTAATAGTGAGGGCTGAGGTTTAAGGGTTGTCTGCATCCTTTCAGAAAATGTCTTTCTGTCCATTAAATAAAAGAGGATGTTAATGCAAATTCCTTGTTCCGCTGCCCCCCCACCCACCCACCGCCACTACTACCGCCACCGCTGCCATATAGTCCTGTCTTTAATATACAACTAGCCCCAACTGACCACTGGATACTTAGAATGAAGTTAGTTGAGAGACTCACCAACGGTGCTGATTCAAACTATAATAAAGTTTTGAGCCACACAGGCAGATTGCTTGGTTTAAGTTCCTCATTTTTGAGATTTCCTTGGCTTGTGTTTAAGGTCCTCTATTTTTGAGATTTCCTTCTCTGGAGCCGATGGGAGTTTTTAGTAGGAATCATAGAGCCCATTTTCTCTTCTCACACTGGGATTCCCTCCCACACTATCTCTCTGCGTGAGCTTTCTCAGGAATTATCTTGTTTTCTTTATCAGTGAATAGGACCATGCTGACAAGTCCAGAGTCAAAGTAATTAAATGTTAATTAATAACAGTGAGGTATAGATGAATCTATACTGAATCATAGTTCCCTATGGACTTCCACTGTGTTTTTGTGTACTTGTTCCCACAATTTTATTTTTGTAGGAACAGGAAAAATTTTAAGCATGATCATAACATTTTTCTTCCTAAGAAAAGTTTTTAAAAAGATGCAAGTTTTGTAGCTATTCCAATTCCTTTGAATTTGATATTTTTCCAACAAGCAAAACAACAGATGGACAAGTGCATCCTCTCAGCTGCTCAGAGTAAAAAAGGTAACACAATGTCCTAAACATGAGACAAATACAGCAGACAGTAATGGAGGACCAGGCTGTGTTGAAACAGGAAGAAAACTCAGCAGCATTGATTTCTATCCTAAAACTCTGCTGCTGAGGAAAGTGAGGCCAAAGGCTTGTCCAAGGTCACACAGCCAATTATGGCACATCAAAAACTAGGACCCGGATTCATGACACCTAGTCCATTTGTGCTACATAGAACTTTTCTCATGAACCATTCCTTTATACAAACTTGGGAAATACTTGAATTTGTTTGAAGTCTTTTGTACTACCTTAAAAATTCATACAAATTCTGCATTTGATAACACACTTCACCCATATTTCCTGTTATTAAAAATAATGTACACTAGCTTAGCATTTTCTCACACTCATGGGCTAAAATTGATGCTTCTAGCATTATCCCAGTCTGTTCATATTTCCTGGAACCCTGCTGGGGATTCTGATTTCAGAATTCTTCCAAATAGCCTCATGTGATTGCCAGTAAAGCTATCAATGTGTCATATGCATGCGTACACTGTTTTCTCTAATCCTTGGTGATTAATTAGGTCCATTTGGTTTGGTCAATACTCAGATGTGATAACCATATGGAGTGGATCTGAATGAATGTTGAATGTTGGTAACTCTTCACTCATTCTTTATGTCAGCCTCCTCCATCCAGCAAGGAACTCCAGGGTTTCAAATGTGCTGTGTAGCTGTACATTGGAAGTGGTTATTCTCTAATCTCTGGGGAGTGGGAGCATTGAGAAGAATTCCATATAATCACCGCCTACTTCTGGGCCTTTGTACCTTTTGTTCCTCCACACTGTAAAGCTTTTCCCTGTTTCTTTGCTAGGTAAGTATCCTACTCATTCTTCCCAAAGTGCCATACGTCATTATCTTCATCAGGTTTTCTTTATCCCTTCCCCTTGAAATTAGCCTCCTCTTCCTGTGTTCCTAAAACATATTGTTGAACCTCTTTTTTTCTTGAAAATAGATTGTCTACCTTTCCACTTAGGTTACAAGCTCTTTGAGGGTGTGACTGTGTCATTTTTGTATGTTCACATGGCTTGTTAGCACTGTTATGCAGCTGTTGTGTAATTAATTTTGGCTGATTTGAATTTCTAAGTCAGGTAAAAGCATAATTTAGGGTGCTTTTGCCATGTGAGGAATAAGAGAAGATGCATTTCTCCTTTCGTCTTGGAAGATTTAGACATGTTCCCATGTTTGGTTTTGTTTGTTTGTTTGTTTTGGTGTTATATTAGCATAAACAAAAGTTCAACTCTATATTTCTTTCCCCACAAAGGTTTTTCCTTTAAACAAAGCTCACTTTGAGAGACAATGATTGGGATATGCTATAGTCCTAAACAGAGTAAAGCGCTCCATCAGGAGTATGTTACAGAAAGTTGTTTTTCAAAGTAACCCTTGCCTGTCAATCTCCCTGAGAGAGAGCATGACATCATATGTCCAGCACCTTGCCATCAGAGGAGGGTCCGTGACCTGCTTGGTCCTGCCCACAGGGGTAAAGGAGGAGGAGCTGACCTTCTGTGGGGCTCTGTCCTAAATGCTTTGACAGAAAATAGACAGAGATGGACGTGGTGAAGCTTAGATACCTGCCTCTTTGCAAACCATACCTCAATTCCTGACAGAAGTAATCTGAAAGCATTCCTAATTTCATCATGAGGTGGAAATCCTGCAAATAGTCTGTATTAGTCAGGGCATGTTAACTGTGAGATCATTCATGCCTGTCTCAGTGGCTGAATACAATAAAGTCTTATCTCTGCCATCTACAACATGTGTATGTGGGACCTTAGTTGTGTGTGTGGAGGGGAAGGGTGGTTTGCTGCATGCAGCTATTTCAGGACCTGAGATCCTTCGATCGATGGCCCATCAGACCCTGGAGCCTCATATCCTTTTCTGGATCCTCTACAAATGGCTGGCAGATGAGGGCCAAGGGAATAATGGAGTATAGGGCACCCACTGATGGCATCCTCTACTTCCACCTACATGCCATTGACTAGACCCCAATCATATGGTCCCAATTAGCTGCAAGGGAGGGTGGGAAATGTAGTGCAGATGTGGCCCTAGGAAGAAGAGGGAAAGTTTTGTTGATTATCTAACCAGTTGTCACATGGACCTTGATGAATTTATTATTGTTATTAATAATATTTTACTTTTAAGCCTTAATATCTATTATTAAATGAATCCTAACTGGAAAAGTTAAATGAAGGAGATAAACAGATTTGCCATTCCTACAAAGCCTTCTCTGATTCCTCCTCATTCTTACCTTCTGGTTTTGATATGCCCCAGGTCTGAATACCAGGAATACTCTAGAAGAGCCTCCCTTAGGTATCTGCCTCTTTCCAATTCAATGGTATATGACATACATGCCTGCCTTGTTGAAGGGTCTGCCTGTTCATGTTTATAACTCCCACTGCATTACATCTTACATACTGTGGACAATCACTGAAGATTTAAGGAATTCATAAATGATTGAACCACCAACTCCCTTACCCCCATTCCAACACAACATGGCATTGGTTCAATTTTACACACATTGGGAGTCTGGAGACCCACAGTTCATGCACATACACTAATGACAGTCCAAACTCCAAGTAAGAAATAGAGAACTAAATGACTATAAATAACTGTAATAGATAATGCCAAATTATGTGTACACATATATTTATGTAATTATCTATTCTCTTAAAAATATCACATTAATATTTTTCTCATCTGAATTGGAAGGTGAAATAACATGGCTTGAAATTTAATTTAGCTAATGACAAACTTGTGTATGTGTTTGGATTAGATGGATGAAACCAACAGATTTCACCTATTTGTCTGGGAGACAGAGAGCTACCAGGATGTGGAGTACATGGCCCTCTGTACTCTCTGCTATGGTAAGCCTAGACAGCATTTCTGATCAGACTGATATCTTTAGAACAGGATGAATCAACTGATGGCCACATGCCAGATCTGCTCTACAGATGCGTATTTGCTTGGTATATGCAGAGTTTTAGAATCTGGGAATTTCCTATTAATTCTGGATTGCCAGTTTTTCTTAAGAAGTCAGGATAGTCTGGAGAATCACAGATGCTAGGTTCCCATGTGGCCACAGTCAGCCAGAGCTGAGTCGGACCTACTGCCTTGTGGTGGGGCAAGTGTCTGCTAGTGCCCCACAGTTCCTTCCCCTCCCTGTTGTTGTACCTCTGGCCGGCTCTGCTTGCTTACCTGTCCTGCCAGGTTCCTGTGAATGGCTGGGCTTGTGTTCCTTCCTAGTGGTTCCATAGCGTGAATGGCAGACCACTGAACTAAGAGTCAAGAGTCCTGGGTTTTAGGCCTGGAACTGCCATTGACCACCAGCAGGATATTAGCAAGTCATTCAATGTCTCTGTGTCTTTAGCCTTCATCCCTCTAACCCACACTCCCACACTAGCCTGTGCCAGAGAGGACTTTATGCTGAAACCCGTGCATGGCCGTGTGTGGAGAACTCTCATCCATCCGCATGTCACCCATGGCTAGAGTGAGTCCTATAGGTGAAATCAAAAGGGGATTTAATTGTTTCCTCTACTTGATCCACACTAAGACCTCACACTGCCATGAGAGATTTGGTTCTGAGAACTTGGCCAAGTCAAATGCCGTAACTGCCATTTGTAGAGTAGGTTACAGTTGATGAGCAGCCTTCACATCCATCGTCTCGTTTGGCACATTGTCTCTCTGGGCCTCAGTTCCCTCTCCTGGAGAAGCATAAACCTGGCTGGCATTTATTGAGCTAGAGCTTTTACTATACACTGGGCATTGTTCTGAGCACTTACATAGATTAACTCATTTTTTAAATTTAAGCCTCATACAGTAAGTACTATTATTATCATCATTGCCCCCGTCTGACAGATTAGGAAACCGAGGCAGTGGGAAGGCCGAGTAACCTTGTGACCTTGGGCACAAGGTCACACACCTAGTAAAAGGTAGGGCCTGGACTGAACCAGGCAAGTGTCTGTGAACCTAAAGATGAATTAGGAAGCCATATGGCCTAGTGGTTAAAACCACTAAATGTGGAATCAGATTGTTACAATTCTTCTGAAAAATGGGCACATTTAGAGTGCCCATCTGCTGGCCATGTTAACACAATGCAGATAGCGGCTATCCTTATTAAGAGTCTGGAAATGTGTTTACATGGAAAGAAAAGAGATGCATGGTAACCCTGGCCTCTCCCCACCCTTCCTCCCCAGACAGGTGCCGGCCGGACCCACAGTGCAGGTCGGGCACGCCTGGTCCCCTGGCGGTAGACGTGGACGTGGCGTTCATGGTGGACAGCTCCCACAGCGTTGGCGCCGATGTGTACCACGCTTCCTTGAGTATAGTGGGTGCCACGCTCGACAACATGGAAATTGCTGCGCAGCCAAACGTGTCCCTCCGTGGGGCGCGCGCGGCCCTGGGGATGCACACGACTCCAGGCTTCTGGCCTGGCACGGGACAACCCCCTGTGCTCCAGGGTTTCCTCCTGACCTCCTATGGCCACCGGATACAGATGCAGAGACACATCCACAAGGTTGCGGGCCGCCCCCTGCAGGGAGCCCCTGCCCTGGGCCACGCCCTGGAATGGACACTAGAGAAGGTGCTCCTCGCAGCCCCGCTGCCCAGGAGAGCACAGGTTCTCTTCGCCATCGTGGCCAGTGAGACCAGCAGCTGGGACCGGGAGAAGCTAAGGACTCTGTCCCTAGAGGCCAAGTGCAAGGGCATCACTCTGTTTGTCCTGGCCTTGGGCCCGGGCGTGGGGACTCATGAGCTGGCTGAGCTGGCCCAAGTGGCCAGCACCCCATCTGAGCAGCACCTGCTACGCCTGGAGGGGATCTCAGACGCAGAGGTGGCTTATGCCCGGGGCTTCGTGCGGGCCTTCCTGAACCTCCTAAAAAGTGAGCAATCCTCGAGCACTGGGGATGCCATTGGTGGGGTGCGGAAAGGAACTTATGGAGCCTGGCATTTGGGCAAGCAGGTGCCCACTGCACCTTCACCTTTGCTGAGCTGTGTGCAGCCCCATAACATCTGGGGAACCCCCAGAGAGAAACCTGTTTCCTGAAAGCCCTGAGCTATCATTGCCCTCACACTGTGCCAAGCCCAGGGCTGGTTTCTTGTCTGGAACCTCTCAGCTGGTAGCTGGGAGGCTTCAGGTTTCCGCCTAACCTCTCCATTTTCTGTTTTACCAAAATGAGAATTACAGCCTCTTCCTTATTGGTGAAGCCTACATTCAAATACGTGCATGGAGGGGCTTTGAAAGCACCAGTGCTGTACACATATAAGGCACAGTTATTGTTATTCCTATATCCCATAATCCAGACCCCAGAATCCAGTCGTGTATAACAGCACTGCTCCAATTTTAACGTGCACATGCAGCATCTCCTGGGTACCTTGTTAAACTGTGGATTGATTCAGTAGGCTTGAGCTGGGGCCTGAAATTCTCTATTTTTAACAAGCTCCCAAGTGATGCTAATGCTGCTAGTCCATGGACCACACTTTGAGTAAGAAGAGTATATTGTATGACATTTATTTTCAGAGGTCTTCAGGGACTTGCCAGGGGCTGAGGGAGAAGTCCAGGGTCTCCCACCTCAGGTTGGGTGGATGAAGCCAACAGTAAAGGTTAAGGGTCCTGGCCGGAATTCTTCCCAGCCTCCTGCCCTAGTGTCCTCACCTCCAATCAGAACTAGCTGAACCAAATTCATGGGCAGCCAGTATCAAAGCTGTACCCCTAGCATGATGATGGAGATTGTTGGGACTGGGGGTAGGTATTACTCTGGTCATATTTCCAGGAATTTGTATTGGACTTTGTCCACCAGTACATAATCCCAAACAACTCTAGTGCAGAGTGCCTTGCTGTGACATGTGAGGCCTTCTTGCCCTCCTTGCTGGAAGACAGGAGTTTTTCAGTTTATAAGTGGATGTGACATCCTGTTGGGAGCCTCAGGGGACATCTGCCCCTTTATCACTGAAGGAATGAAGGGAGTCTGAGGGATATGTTAGAAGTATTGGCACAGCATTTGTGCCTCTCCAGTTCGAGAGGCAGAAAGGTCAATGAACTGGTTCTAGTCCTGGCTTTGCCACTAGTGAGCTGTGTGATCCTAGAAGTGTCAATGAACCACGCTGAACTTTAGATTCCCTATTGCTGCAGAAGGTGAAGGAGAGATTTGTAATAGATGACTGATGGCTTAGTAACTCTTCGAGGGAGAAGCAGGCTGAAGGAATCCCTGTTTTAGTCTTTTAATTTCATTTTACTTTATTTTTTATTATGTTAGGTTGCATTTTATGTCTTGTTATAGTCTTTTATGTTGTGATTTTATATTATTTATATGATAGGATGCATTTTGTTTTTATTGTATTTTATTTGCTTTTATTTTTGTATTTCATGCTTTACTTGAATTTATTTTACATCTTTTTTGTTTCAGGTCAGTGAGTTTTTTATTTTTATGTTTTATTTTATTTCATTTTTATTTGGTTATGTTTTTTATTTTGCTTTATTGTAGTATATATTTTACTTTGTTGTACACTTTGATTTTATGTCTCTTAAATTTCATGTGTTAATGGGTAATATTTTGTGTTTTTTTGCATTTAATTTATGTTTATTTTACTTTTTAACTTTTATATCATTTTATGCTTTATTTGATTTGGTTTGATTTTTTATTCTATTTATAGGTGGAACAAACAAGTACCCACCCCCAGAGCTCATTAAAGAATGTGGTGGCCCAAACCGAGGGGACACTCTGCTGCAACCACTTAGGCTTATCAAGAGGTAGGCTGAGGGCAGAGGTTGTCCCATAGTTCTGTCCCCCTGAAGAAGTCAGTCTCCCTAAAGAAAGGTCACAGGCAATGCTGGTCCTTGACTGTCTGACCCAAAAATATTAGGGCTAGGATACTCCTGTGTTTGACAACCCTGATATGGTTTGTTTTTTATTTTCTTCTTATTTTTTAATATTAAGAGTAACACAGGACCAATATAAAACATTCAAAGAGCACAGAAGTGTATAAAAGCAAAAGAATGAAAATTTTCCATTCCACCACATCCCCCATCTTCTAATCCCATGACCCAGAGGCACAATTAATAATGCTAAACATATTATTGTGATGTTTGTCCAAACACCTGTGCAAACCTAAGAAAGTAGCTAATGTGATAACAAAGTCACCAGGAAATGCCCAATCCTAAAGCTTATTAAGCCAGCAATATCAATTGGGAATTGAACCTATGTGTTCTCATGATTTGGCAATGCAGTTTGATAAGAATTGTTTCTGTATAGGTTGCCCAAGAGCCAGCGTGGCATATCTGGCTTTGCTGATGACTTGGAACCATTTCAAGCAACAGACATTTTTCTAGAGAACAGAACAGCCATGATGACAGCTGTAACTCAGCAAGAAGCACTTGGAAGTTATGAAAAGAATCGATTTGCCGCTGAAGAAAAAGAACAAGAAATGCCTGCAAAACAAAAAGAAAAGAGAAAAGAAATAAAGTCAGGTACTGCCTATGGTAAAAACCAAACTACTTCTTGTTCCTTACGTTGAATTCACTTTTTAAAATCTTTATCTTTTTATTTATTTATTTATTTATTTATTTATTTATTTATTTAGCTGAGCCATCATGCCACCTGTTGGCAGCTCAGCCCAGGCCGGGAATTGAACTGGCGACCCTGTTGCTCAGAGCTTGCACTCTTGAGCGAACTCTGAACCAACTGAGCCACTTGGCCAGCCTTAAAATCTTTATCTTTGAAAACAAATTCCTATGCGCTGTGTTAGCATGAAAATTTTGGCTTTTTATACACTTTCTTTCCAAATACACAAACTCAGATATGGAGCTAAAGAAATAAGTTAAAGAAAACACAAGAAGGCTGTGAAATGAGCTGAACAGAGAGTATTTCAGGGAGTATATGGAGGCACACTCTATGAAGTGTCTGTACTTCATTGTGGAGAAGCGATGATCTATTGCTGAAGTGCTGAGCGTACACATGATCATGAGGGAGAGAGCACTGGCTTGGAGAACATGCTTCTGACCAAGTTTCACGAACATTTGGATCCATGTAGAACAATCAATCCAAGCATCGATTTTGGATCACAGAATGTAGATCCAAAATGCCATGTTACCTCTTACCTGGGCTCAACAAAGTCTGCCAAAGAGAGAACACATGAGAAAGAGATTTGGGGGGACCGGACTCTGAAGTTTTTAAAATGCAGGGAAAAGATGGCTGAAAGAGTTTCTCGGTGAGTGGAGTCATCAGTCCTGCTTAGATTAAATGAGAGATCATTGCCCAGAGGTTTTTGAGTGTGCCCTAGATGGTTCTCCATCAGGGGCTGCTAGCTAAGTGGCCATGGGAAAGTTATTTAATCTCTCTGTGGCTCAGTTTTCCGATCTGTCAAGTGAGGATAATGTGAATACCTACCTCATGGGGTTGTTTGGAGACTCAGACTAGATAATTCATGTGTTTGCCACATAGTAAGCATACAATCCAAGTTGGCTGTTAAGATGCTGATACGTCCCACCTCTTAGATTCCAAAGCCAACACGTGCCAAAGGAGATAACAAAACCAGATAGAGGAATGGGCACTCCCAGCAGGGATAGTAACATTTCACCTCCTTGGGCTAAAAGTTAACATAGAAAGACTGATCCTGTTGATTTTTCTATCATCAGTATTTAATATTAGATAATTTTACTAAGGCAGTGATTTTCAGTCTTGGCTGTAAATTGGAATCACCTGGGAATCTTTAAAAATTCTCAATGCCTAGACCTCAACCCAGGCCAATTTAATCAGAATCTCTGGGTGGGGAACTTACCCAGTAATTCCACTGAGCAGCCAAGAGTGTGACCATTGACTCTAAGGCATCCTCCCCCACAAGTTCAAGGTGAAAGAGATGGAGGGGAGCTTACTGGTCATGTAATCCAATTCTATTCACAGACAAAACCTGAGGCCTGAAGGCTCCCCAAATTTCCCACCCACTCTGTAACTTTGCTCTGGCCAGTGCCTCTCCCATTTCATTCCAAGGTCACTCAAAACTTTTAACACCTCCTCACGCTCCTTTCCCCATGTCTCTCTCTCTAGCAGATGCCCTTGTTATTTTATTTTATTTTATTTTTATTTTATTTATTATTTTTTTGCTTTCAAAAGAAATGAAGGTGGCCAGGTGCAACCTCTTGCAACTTCCTGTATTGCTGCACCCCCTGTCTTTCTGGCCTCTAGTCAGAGAAAAGAGCTACCTCTTGTCTTCCAGGGTGTTCTGTCTGAACTGTCAAAAATGACCAAAAGGACTCCTTTAGACCTCATTGACTTGAGCTCCTTGAGATGTGGCCACTGTTGGCAGCTACCTTCCTCTTCCAACCCTTTTCTTTCTTGGCTTTGGAGATAAGAGTCTTTTCTTGTTCTACTTCTGACCGGTCCATATTTGTGGGCTCCTCTTCCCAGGTCCATCCTCACAGGAGGATCCAGGCTTCATGGAACTTGAAGTTTATACAATTTGGGGGGTGGGGTGGGAAAGGAGGACTCTCTTTAAGAAAAAGAACACAAAATTATTAAAATTAAGCACAAAAGTGAATATTTGCTTAGAAGAGGCTTATGCAAATGAGGGGCCCTGAAGCTTAGGCTTCATTCATTTCATGGTAAACCTGCCACGCTTTCCCCAAGGTCCTTTCTTAAGTCCTCTAAGCACTATCCACCCTACTGGGGCAAGCTTTTCCACCATGACTTCAGCTATTCCCTCCTCTACTGGTGACTTCAAATCCATGTCTTCCATCTTTAACTCTCCTGAGCTGCAGACCCTCCAGATGGCACCATTGCACATGCCCACAAACCCAGTTTAACAAACTGGACTCATCTTTCCCATTCAAATCTCCTCCTCCTTTATTTCTTTACTGGAATGAGTCCCTATTGTCCCAGGAATGGAAAGCCAAAACCCAAACATCACTCTAGTTGTCCTCCCTTCACCTCCTGCCTCCAACTGGTGACTACCTCTTGGGGTAACTTCCTCCTCAGCATCTCTCAGCTCCATCCCCCTTTGCCACAATCTTCCCTCTTAATACCTTGGCTTTAGAGTGTAATTGCAGTGCTGTCTCACTGGTCTCATTTCTTCCAAATTGTCCTGCTTCCAATTCTATTCTGAGCACCAAATTAATTTTTCTAAAATGCAAATCTGGACATGTCATTTCTCTTCTTCTATATTTCCCGTGGTTTATAAGATAATTTCCAGGTGCCTGGGTAAGGCACGTTATAAGATAATTTCCAGGTGCCTGGGTAAGGCACGTAGGCCTCTGCAGTTAGACCGCTACAGGGGTCCTCTGGGGCCAACTGGCTGCCACTTCCCTACACATGCCTTTTGCACTATTTGCAGTTGTCCCTTATGCCCTGTTCTTTATTCCATGTCTCCATGCCATTGCTCACCCCTACCTACCCATCTGCATCTTCTCCACAGTGTCCACCTGGATTACATCTACTCACCTGTTACTACTCAGGTCAAGTTTCACCTCTAAATAGAGTCCTTTCTGGCTCCCAGGTAGCACTAAATTTTCCTGACCTCCTTTGTGCCCCTGTATCTTAAGCTGAATTCTGCCGTAGCACCTGCAACCCTTCATTGCACCTACTTGTGAAGAATTAAATGATGTCATCTCTCTTCATAGAAGCCAGGCTGATTTTGGTACAGTTTTCCATTTCAGTGTTATCTCCAAAGCACACAGATCTATTTTTTGGTTTTCTCCTCCAAGTAGGGCTACCTTATAAGATGTCTACCAGGAGACAGAACAGCCCAGGCAAAATTGTAATGTCATCATAGCTTTTCTTCATACCTATCCAGTTTTCTTCTTTCTTTTCCCCTTTTCATCATAGCTTTTCTTCATACCTATCCAGTTTTCTTCTTTCTTTTCCCCTTTTCTCTTTTTCAGTCCTGGATTCCATGGACTTGTTTGAGTAAACCTGATTGCTGCTGTAGGATTCTTCCAAGGCAAAAGTTAGCACTCGTGGTAAAAATAATGCAAATGTCAGACTGGGGCTCGCAATAATTGCTTGGGTGAAAACTTGTTTTCCCCCAATGCCATATCAGGCTGATAAAAGAAAACTTAAGATTCTAAGGCTTCCTGAGTGTTGCAAAGAATGCCTTCAAAATAATTAGTTTAAAGCATCGAGGATTTGCTTACCTATAGCAGTGCTGACCAACCACTAGCCACAAATTTAAATAATTTGAAATTAAATAAAACTGAAAATTCCATTCCTTGGTTGCAATATCCATATTTCAAATGCCCAATAGCCACATGAGCAGGGGCTACCGTATTGGACAGTGCAGATATAGAACATTTTCCTCATTGCAGCAAGTTCTGCTGGACAGTGCTACCCAAGACAAATAGTTGAGAAGCAGCTTCTGTTTGATTGTCTCCCAGACTAATAGCAAGGATGGGGCTTCTAAAGGCAAAAGCCACAAAGTGTCACTAGAAAAAGTAATGATTTGTCTAAACAAGGCCTTGGCTTCTCCGTTTAGAATCAGTTTGGACCGGTAGAAGTTGGTGCCAGTTGATTGCTGAGCCCCAGATCTATTCGTTGAACCTCCTTGTTGACCGAGTACGGTCAAAAGTTCACCATTGGAGTGTTTTTCTGTTGACTCTGATACATTTTTTGAGAAGCATTTGCTGTGGCTCCTTCTCCTGGGCCCTCACTGCTTGCTATCTCACGCCCCCCCCGGAATCGGAGTCATGCAGCAGGCCAATTCAAATGTGTCTGTTCAAAGCATAGCACAATTTCTAGGATGAATGATTTACCCCTGGAAGAGTGCATTTCATCCCCTTGGGTCCAGCACATCTCGTCACTTCTTCAAGAAAACTAATCTATGTTGATTATACTAATGGATAAGTAGGCAGCTTCCCAGGATCAGACCACAAATGTTAACTCTTGCTTTCTGAAGGCAATGTCTCCTTTATTTGGGAGTGCCTGCAAGGCCCAGGGGAAACTATGTGGAGGATATCACGATTCTGTGCTGCAGGGCTGCCTTGAATGAAACAAGAATATTTTTCTATGACATCAAACCTGTTCTTTCTAGAAAGCCGGAGGGTGGCATACCTGAGAAAAATAATGTCTTATTTAAAATTCAAGGCAACTCAGATTTTACTCTGTTGTTAACTTGTGGATTCTCCATACTGTTTTTCATTTTCCAAGAACATCACTTTTTTCTTTTAGTATATTTCTTTACTTCTTGGGTGAGTTTTAGGGTACAATAAATAATAAATAAACTGGACTTGCTTAGGCCATTAGACGGGTTTGGGATTAGGCAAGGGATTAAGATGGTTTAAAAAAAGAGGGAAATGAGTATTATAAGCAAGTAAGAGGTTTTCAGTATCAGAAAGATTTATTTATTTATTCACTCACTCATTCACTCATTTACTCATTTATACACTATCTGGTGTATCTGCTGTACGTTAATTACTGTGCAAAATAGTAGCTATAGCAGTATTGCATCTTTTACATGTTATGTGACACCTTACAACAAACTTGTGATGTAGGTTTTTTGTTTTTTTTAAAAAATATTGCTTTTATAGTTGAGGAAACTGAGGCTCAGAGAGGTTAAGTTACTTGCTGCCGGTCACACAGCCAGTTCATGGTGAGGCTATGTGATTTATTTCCAGGTTTACGACATCAAACCATTGCTCCTTTCCTGTCATGCTCATGTAGAAAATTCAGCTCTCTCTGCATTTGTTTTATGGCAGGTCCTTGTTTTATGGATCCAATGGGAGGCGAGTGCCAGGAGTACATCCTGAAATGGTACTATAACAAGGAGAAACAGGCTTGCCAACAGTTCTGGTATGGCAGCTGCGGGGGCAACGCCAACCGGTTCGAAACCAAGGAAGAATGTGAGCATTGGTGTGGCCCAACACCCCTATAAAGTCAGACAGAACCTCATTTACTGCTTCCTCTGTTTTAATAGCTGATGAAACCAAGATTACCTTTCCTGAGACAGTGCCACATGTCTCATAAGTGGTGAAGCCCACTCTATAATCTCAGAGGTCAGATTCCTAACCTCCTGAGGTTTTTCCTGCCTGTGAATGCTTGGGTCAAATGATTTGTGAATTGAGAAGAACTGTATTCTAGTAGTTTAAAAAAGTAATGGAGACTTGCCTGAAAGTTGCTTAAATAATTTAGAACTGAATAAAAAAGACATTTGAACTTGACCTATAAACTTTAATTTAATTATTATTATTATTTTTTGGCTATGTAGCAAAAGAAAAATCAATGTAAGCAAGTGAGTAAAACCGAATTAGGAAGTGAGTTGAAACTTGATTTCTTTTTTTACCACAAGAACCTGGAAGTATTAGTCAAAGCAGGGGTCTGAAAAAGGGGACACCTAATGTGAAATTTCATCCTTACTACCTAGTGTGAAAATAAAGGTATTCTCAATGAAATCATTTGGTGTGAGACCTCATATGATATCTGCTCACTGCAATCTGTGCTGTACTTTGTGACATAGCAGTTGATGGAGGGGAAACAGCAGTTGACTTTGCCATGGAACTGATTCTTTGACATCAATACAGTGACTCTTGCCCTTTGATAGTTGGTGACTCAACAATTAAGGCAAATATAACGTGAAGTGTGTAGGTTCACCATGGATGACAATTTTGCAATATGGATATTGAAGACAATTGTGATTTTGTGAGATCTTCCTCTGGCTCACAGTTATATTCCCCAGGCCTCTGAACTCGGGCCCAGGTTCAAGGCAGAACTGGGCACTGCATGAAATTCTGGAGCTGCTGGGTACTGAGGGTGCCTGGCATGGGTCCTCTGGAGGATCATGTATTAGTCTGCTTGGGCTGCCATAACAGAATGCCACAGACTGGGTGGGGCTTAAACAACAGAAATTGATTTCTCACAGTTCTGGAGACTGGAAGTCCAAGATTGAGGTGTGAGCTTGTTTGGTTTCTGGTGAGAGCTCTCTTCCTGCCTTGCAGACAGCTGTGCTCTTGTTAACCCTCAAATAGCCTTTCCTCTGTGGAGAGAGAAAGAGAGAGGGAGGGAGAACAAGAGAGTGAGAGTGAGAG